TTCATTAAAATCGGCCTTAGGGTTTAGACTTCAATTCTGAAAATTTAAAAATAACCAAACTAATGAAAATTCCCATTTAAAAATTATATTTATCGATTGTAGGTTATTAATTTTTGAAAAATGACTAACATTTTTGCCCAGACACACCCAATATCGAGTACAATCTATGTTCAAAATTTGGTGGAAATATGCCTTATGGTTCTCGAGTAGTTTGCGAACACACACATACACACACATGCACACACACACACACATATAGTCAGTTTTTATATATATATATATATATATATATATATATATATATAGAGAGAGAGAGAGAGAGAGATTGTCGCGGCCGCAGGTGCGTTTGCAGTCAGTTGCCGAGTCTCTGTTGGGTCCTGAGCAGACTTGTGCTATGAGGGGCCGAACAATTCAGAGCAACCTGCATCTGATCTGCACGATCATATTGGGTGTAAAAGACGACGATGAGGCCGCGCTGATCAATTTAGATCAGTCCAAGGCATTTGATAGGGTTGACCATCGCTGTCTTGCTGCTGTCCTGAAGGCCGCCGGATTCGAACCCGACTTCTGCCGCTGGATTAGCCTCTTGTATCGCTCCCCCAGGGCTGTGGTACAGGTGAACGGGAAGCTGTCGGGCGCTTTCTAGGTAGGTTCGTCAGGGTTGTCCACTGTTGCCTCTACTTTATGCCTTGGCGTTGGAGCCTCTCCTTCGGCGGCTGAGGGACAGGGCGTTCAGTCCGGCCCTACGTGGAATCGCCCTTCCTGGAGGGGCTCGATCGGTACGAAAAGGTGACAGGGGCCAAGATTAACCGCGACATGTCGTCCGGCTTGCGGTTAGGTGCCTGGAAGGGGGTCGATCTTCCGGGGCCTTTCACATTCTTGGAGTGTGGTTTGGACACGACCTCCAGTTGGAGAAAAATTGGTCTGAAGTACGAGCAAAGATCGACGCGGCCGGTCAGACTTGGCGTCGACGGAGGTTGATCGTGAAGGGCAGGGCGGAGGCGTGTGCCACTTACGTTTTCCCGATTGTTCTTTATCGATTGTCCGTACTTCCCCTCTGTGAAGACCATAGGAAGCCGCTCGAGCGCTTGCTATCCTCCATTTTGCGGAGGGACGCATGCATCAGGTCGACACTGGCGTCTGTGCACAACGTCCGTGTCAGGGTGTGGCTGGTAATGCTACACTTGCTGACCCACAAACTCGCCTTGAGGTTGGCTTTCCGATGCTGCGCATTTACATGAGATTCGATTATGGCGGGGATTGTTAGGGACGCGTTCCCTTTCCTTACTATCAGTACCCCCTCAGCTGACGGGTTGAGCGCCATAGTAAACCCGGGTTCAATCGGATTTCTTTCGCGAGTGTCGTTCTGCCTGTTCTTTGGTCCAGTGACCTTTCTCAGCCTAGGAAGGTCTTCTATCCTTATTTAGTGGAGGAGGTCGCGAAAGATCCTTTACGTGAGAGGCTTGACATGTCGGGGGAGGAGCTTCGCTCTTTTTGGTCTTGGGCGCCAGCGGCGGATTATCTCAGTAACTGTCATACCTGAACATACCTATTCTATTATTAATAGACTCTCCCACACATAATAAGTAGAGTAGTAGTAGCGGTCGGCAGTTGAGATCAGTGGTGTTGAGTGAGTCAGTCGATGTCGGACATTGAAGTATCAACCATCACAACTAGATTGCTGCGTCATTAACTCTTTTTTCAAGTCCCTAACGTTTTTGTACGTCGGAACCTAATTTAGGACGACTTAGGGAAATACAGGCCTCCACTGTGAAAACTACTCTACAACAGTAACCCTGAGTTTTCGCTTACCTGGCGATTGGTTCTGAATCAGATGCCTCTCAATGACATGGTCTTCATATGGGGCTTGGCGGATTTACCAGACTGTGAATGGTGTGACCTTGGTTTAGAGGAAACGGCTTCGCACACCTACCATTGTCGCCGAGTCCGCCCCTTATGGGACCATGTCGGCGAGTTGACGGCTCGTCTCGCTCCCGAACACCTCGTGCTCATTGATCGCGCATACGCGTGTGACAATGTGTCGCCCCCCCGTTTTCTGGGGTGAAACAGATGGTGTTTCTCACGCTGCTGGCCACGGCCCGAATGGTGATTTGGACGACGCGAATGGAGGAAGTCTTGCGAGGCAACCCTCTTTCTCATCAGGATCTGATCCGATTCTTTGAGCATCCACTCAAGATGAAGATTAGAACTGATAGAAAACGCTTGCATTCGACAGTCTTCAGCGAAAAGTGTGTGAGTGAGGCGAGCTTGTTTGAACGGGGCTAGCCTTGATTTTCTCTTTTAGGTCAACCTACATCACATCGGGGTGGTTTCCTGCGGAGCCCTCCCCTTGGTTAGGTTAGTACCTTTTGTGTACCTAGTTATTGTGAGTAAATGTTGTTCCTGGTCTGCTCCCGGCTGCCTCTTTGGTTATGATCCAAGTCGAGATTCCCAACAGTTTTTTGCCCCTCTTTTTATCTCGACTGGGTCAGCTTTTTCGTTCCCATATCCATATATATTTTTTCCTTTTCCCACTCCTTGAGAGAGCTCCTTGATTTTGTCCAGTGGGCAGAATACAGCGGCCTCTCTTCTTCTTGAGGGTTGGATGGGCCCTACTAACATCAGTTATGTTCAGTTCACTTTGTGTTCATGTTTAGTTTGTTATTGGATTCATCTCCCTTCCGTCTCATTTTTCACCTTTAGAATTGTATATATATAGTTTATTATCATTAAATTTTTATGGCATGGGACGCGTTTCGCAGGTTCCCCTTGAGAGGATGTGGTATTATGGTGTATGGAGGATTGATTGGTGACGGACGAGTTTTTGTGGTGAATGGGCAAATTGTAATGAGTGAATGGGTCGTGAATCAGATTAGCTACGTATAAGACAGTAAGGGAAGACCAGCCTCAATCCCTCCCATTCTTTCAGCCTTGTGCCATAGTTGTATTTATATGCAATAAATACTGGCCTGGATCAAAGTGTAGCACGCTACCTTTGTGAGCTTCCGGTGCTTCGTCAAGAGAATACTCTTCGGCCTGATCCCGTTTCCGCGGTCGATCCGCCCTGGAAGACGTATCGCCTCTCTGACTCCAGCTTCGTCAAGTGTTACACTTCGGCGCGATAGTCGTATAACTACACCGACTCGGCCCTGTTTAGGAACTTCGCCTTCGTCAAGTGCTACACTTCGGCGCGATCCCGCCCACGTGGTTGATCCTCCCTGGAAGTCGTATCACTTCTCTTACTCGGCCCTGTTTAGGGACTTCGCCTTCAAGTGCTACGCTTCGGCGCGATAGTCGTATCACTATACCGATTCGGTCCTGTTTAGGGATTCGTCCTAACCGACCCGACGAATCTTCGTCATCGATCGACCAGCTACTGCCGCCGACAATTCTCCAATCCGGCAGTCGACCAGCTACCGCCGCCGATCAACTCTACACTCGTTTCGCCGATACAGCCGAATCAACTTCCCTTGAAGGAAACCAGTCATATCGGACTCTACACTGATACAAACATATTTCTCCATCAGTACACTCTTGTATATTTTGGATAAATAAAATCGACGTTTATTGTTTTTTAAACCTCTGCCTTTGTCCCCTCATTGTCTTGGCTGTTCACACCTTTCCTTTAAAAGCTTGCAGGGGCGACATCCTTATCGGCCCCGCAACAATATATATATGTACACGAACCAAAAAACACGGTGACATGCAAAATGTGGTCTAGTGTTTCAGTGTCCATAAAGATATATGTTTTTAATATATATAAGTTTTTAAAAAGAATTATAAATTGGGAAGAAAATTGAAATATTAACACATCTTTTTTGGGCGGAAGAACTCGTTGACCTTGTTATGCTATCATACGCCTTTAAACAAACCCAGGTCATTGAATCACGGTCTTTTTCAGAGAAATGTAATTTTCCCAATTCCCTCGGAAAAGGCGGGGTTCTTGTGGCAGAAACCGCCCCATAATTAATCACAGAAATTAATTACTAAAAGAAAGAATTTTTTTTATTTGTCATTAACAGGGGAATATTTATAAAAAAAATTCAATTTTATGCTGCATAGCATACTGAAATAATTCATGTCCGTACGTATTTTACTGTTGTTATTGTTGTTGTTGTTAATAATAATAATAATAATCCCCATTCTGTACCAGTTTTATTTTCCTTTGAGTGAATATTGTTGTCCTCAAGTAATTAAATGCTTCCATATGTTGATTAATATCACTTTACCCACCAAAAATCACAAGTAACTTCTGGGCAGACAAATAATCCGTCAAGGTTAATTTAACGTCTGAATCGTTTTACTTTTCCATATGAAAGAAACGTAAGGATGTCAGACCAAATGGAAATTTCTTACTTTTAGTAAGGCACACAACAATGACAATATTACAGAATTGTTCGTAAGCTGGTGTAATAAGAAAATCGAACAATGAAATTTATTGGTATGGGATAGTTACCTGTTAGTAGACTTGAGCTTCAACTAATAATGGTATTTACTTATTTTTTATGTCTAATTTAAAAACCAGACTTGTAAAAATTATAAACTGTAAATCCATGAAACTGATTTAAAAAGAAAAGTATAATTTACCATTCATTATTTGACAATCACAGAGAAGTTCTTTATATGTAAAATAAATTTCCCCTTTGAATAAGAATATTTGACAACACATCATTATGTAAATTAATAAAATTAATGGCTGTGCGCAGAAAGCATAACGGATATCAGGAAAGTGGAATCGGATCTGGGTGGTCCGAGTTCAGATTCTGGTCTTGTCTGTTGTGTTCACTTTCACACAAATGTCCTTTGGAATGGCATGGAACAATGTCTTCTTCATATGGGTTAAATAGCATGGTAGACTGGTCTCTCTAGCTTTGTCAATCAATCTAAGAGAAGAAAAAGTAAATTCCAATTCATGGAATCCTTAGCAATGGGAAATTACTCCTCTGTATTCCCCCCTAAAATGCATAACAGTTCATAGATAAAGAAAAATCTATGGAATGTCATAATCGACTATGTCTTGAAGAGAGAGAGAGAGATATAGATAGATAGATAGATAGAGAGAGAGAGAGAGAGAGAGAGAGAGAGAGAGCATAGAAACAGTTAGCTGGAAAGAATTTCGTTAGTTTAAATAAAAACATAACAAAGATCAATATATATAGTAAAATGAAGGGTCATTGGCGCATTTAACTTTTTCTGGGGAAGACAAAAAAAAAGAAATTATAAAAAAAGTTGTCATCCAGAACAAGACTGAAATTTTCTTGCTGTTGTGAGTATTTCTTGGCTTGCATTCACTATATTGTTTCGCTTGACGACTTCATTCCTCTACGAGTCACACTTGCCAAGTTTCTGAATTCCATTGGGGTAGGGAGAGAGATTCACTCGGTTGGGAAATCACTCGGTAGTACTATGGTTGCTAGTGAGCGGAAACTTTTCAATGTCAGTCCTCTTAGATTGCTCAAAACAGCCTTTACTTCAATTATTTTCTTTATTCCAGGTTTCCATTTTCCCTTCATGTAGGATAACGAAGGGATACGATTACAGAAACCAAAATACGCGAGTCTCCTGCAAAATGGAGTAGACTTGATATTATTGTCACTAACTTTTTTGTTTTCATGTTTATCTTCTGACACATCAAATATTTCTTCGGTCGTAGGCTGTCAATTCTTTAACTCTTTCTCTTTCGTCCTCAAAATAGGCACAATCCTGATAAAATTAAACGATAACCTTCAAATTACTTTTATAACCTTTACCAGCATTTGTTGAGGGTGAAGACTTTTCCAGGAGCAAGACTAGGACTAGTTGATTTATGGGGCGCAGAAAATTTTGGTTCTTGTGGCTTACTCGTATAAGTTAGTGGCAGCGATGACTAATTATTCAGAACGCTGTCCGGAATAAAGCAATCTTAACCAAACGTGCAACACAATGATAAAGCAAAGCAAGTGAATTCATCAACAGATAACACTTTATTTGGATATTTTATACATTGTGTTGTGAATATAATAATACCCTTGAAAAGAAGGGTGAGTTTACATGTACACATTTAAAAGTGAAAAGTTAACATGCACACATTTAGGTGTGTTTAATAAAAACCCTTTGAAAGGGGAAAGTTCCATACACACATTTAGGTGTGTTCAAATAAACCCCGGAAAATGGGAAGGTAGAAAGACACACATTGAGGTGTGTTTAAATAAACCCCTGAAAATGGAAAGGTAGAAAGACACATATTGAGCTGTGTTTATTAAATCATGACAATTGAAAAGTACAAAGACACACGTTGAGATGTGTCTGATTAAATCATGAAACTGGAAAAGTTCCAAGACAAAGGTGTGTTTAATAAAACCCCTTGAAAAGGGAGAAAGTTCATAGCTTGGATTCATTGTTGAATAATTGAATCTACATCAGAGAAGCATGTAATGTTTCAATGGATCAGTAAATCGGTTGCGTTGACAACGCGAAATCCATTCGCCAGTTGACCTTGTTTGCTTTATGGTCTGTATTTATAGCTTCCCTTAAGCAGGTACTGGCCCGCAAAAAAAGTCCCTCGAAAATGCGATAGTCATAAAAAAAAACTGATATGACTAGATATAGTCTAAATTCAGATATAAGCTTTTTTAATAGTTACTTTCTTACAGGCACACATCTTTTCATGTCTGGGTTTGGTACTACATATTCTTTTAAAGTAGTATGTCATATATATTTGTGATACTCATAGCAAAACTGGTAGGGAGAAATAGAAAATAAACGGCATATCAATGATAAATACAGTGATGAAAATGACATTCGCGATGACCACGTGATGAAAGATAATGTAATATCGCTTATTCATCTATGAATAAACATATCGTCTATACGGAAACACACGTGCGTTCTCTCTCTCTCTCTCTCTCTCTCACACACACACACATACACACACACTTTTGCTACCACCTTCTTCACTCGACTGGAATAACAAGGCGGAAATGTTAGAAAAGATTTATCAATTTTTTTCTGTAGAGAAAAGAAAAAGACATTTTAATTGGGGAAATTGTATTAAATAGAACTTCAATTGATACTCCAATTAACAACTTTTTCCTAATTGCTTCCATAAAGAAAGGAAATAGTGCAGAGACATGATCGCCAACGAAGTGAAGGAACACGGCACATAGAATTATTATTCTAAGTGCAATACTCAAATAACAAGTATTTTACTAATCTTAATTTAGTCCAGTACAGTAACAAATGTAGATGAAAAGATTGTGTTGCATCAAGTGGAGAGAGCTTCCCTTGAAAATTAATTCGAAATTTTGGCTTAAATCTGGGTTTGAACCTCAGCTTCTAATATTGTTGAGATATCCGTAAATATTTCACTTACGAGGTGAACCATAAGAGTAACCATGACAATTCATGACATAAAGAACGCATGGGCAAAATGCTTTATCATATCAGCAGGAAATATTTTGGTTGTCTCCGTTAGTAAATTATAATTTTTATCAAGAAAGGCCTTCAATATTTATAAGATGATTTGTTCCATCAATTATTTTGTTGATCCTATAGGTCATTAAATATGATAATTAGCTGTAAACTATCCACATTTTTAACAGAAAACCATTTTATAGATTAAATTGGGATCACAGTATAGTAACTGTTCTCTCTTCCTCTTAAAGAGAGAAGCTTAATTCGGGGCTTCCAACTCTGTGGCAGCATCTCCCTCATTTTACTAAATGAGGGAGAGGTTGGTAGATACTGACGCCAGCTTGATAATGGTTGCGAGGACTGAGCAGTCGTTTTCCTTGGCCTCTATGCACAGCGTATCACATTAAACCCCGACCTTGTGTCACATCCTGCTACCTTGGGGAGTTGGATAAATATATGGGACTTTATGGCTGGAAGAAAAGTATAGCATCTGACTCATTTCCTCTTAAAGTTATGAAGGATGCAGAATCCTGAGGATTCCAACCTTACGGCAGCTCCTCCCTTATTGTACTAAAATGTAGGTACTATATGTATATATTTATTCCTGTTATTGCTTTTTCTTTGTTCACCTTTTCTTCATTAATCAAAGTATCGTAAAATGTTTGTCCCCAACATTTACAGACTGCATTTACTTTGGATCATTTAAATGACGGGGGGGGGGAGAAAGGAAGAAAGGAAGGAAGGAAGGAAGGAAGGAAACAAAACAGTGGTTTGAAAGAGAGGAGGAATCTAGGTTTCCTTTGCTTATCCTCTACTTTCCCATTTCCTTGTCGTCGATGTGTCATTCAATCTTCGATTTGTTCTCCTTTGCAGAAGACGTCGAAAACATTTGTTGAATTATTCATGCTGCACTGATTGTCTTCAGTCAAGAAAATCGCTAAATAAGACGCCAATGAAAACAGCCTGCCATCACAAAAGCTGGTCATAGCAACAGTTGCGAACGGTGCTTTCTAGCAATCGGAAATTATGGAGGAAATGGCATTTGTTTTTCCTAGGAAATCGGTTAAAATCATTATTCTTTTAATATTTGAACAACTCCTGCACAACTCTCGAGAATGTGTAACACTATCATACATTGATTCAGTTGTATGAGATTGCAAAGACTAGCCCATCATAAGAATGAAAAAGGAAAATGATTCAGAATAAAATCAATATTTCTATCCTTATTGCGGCTATATTTCTCATTAGAATTACTTATTTTGGGTGGAATCTTAGAATGTAAATTTCGTCTTGGTTCCAAACTAGGATATGATTCTTTTAAAAAAGTTGGAAGATTGCGATGATTGAATTGTTTTCTTTTATTCAGATTTTGTTAAAAAAATCAGCCAGTATAGGCAAAGTCCTGAAGCTTCCAAATAGCTGGAGGACTGACTACAAAGCCAATTTTCTGAGTTTACTAGTTTGTCCAGGCTATCAAAAAACAATTTTGCAATTGTTTTGTACTTAGCAAATATCAAACAATTTTTTATTCAATATTTCCTCAATGATAATCAAAAAAAAAAAAAAAAAAAATGAAAAGATATTCTTCATTGAAAAACTGAGGTCTATAGATACGCAAAAAGTATACATGGTTTGTAATATAAGTTGTTGCATGTTAATTTACAAATTAACGTTCGATTAAAATCAAGAAATTCAATCAAAGAAATTATTAAACTTTACTACAACTTCCACTTGTGAAATGATAATAAAGAATAGAGATTTTTAAAAATTATTGAAAGTAAAAATGTCCAAAGAAAGCCAGTTATCATTTATGAACTAAGGAGAATTGCTGAAAATTATTTTTTTAATGTGAGTGATTTTATTTTATAAAATTATAAAATTTAATCGTTAGTAATTTTTCGACTTTTTTTACCAAAAAAATGTTTATTCTTCTGTTTATATTTCTGAGATGAGCGTGTGGGTTTGCGAGTTGTTGGGTTAGGAACAGAAGGTCCAACTACATTAACATGGTGGACTCAAGTTGAGTCCAACCGAAGATGTAAAGAAAACAAACAAGACCGATATATATATCAACAAATATATGTATTAAACGACAAAATTTACAATGGACATAGACATTAACATTTGTGTTTGTGTGTGAATGTAAAGAGCTTGTATTTTGGTGAATGTTCTTACGTACGTGTATGTGTGTTTCATTGCGTTTTCCCACGAGTGGGCAAAACGCAGATCTCTGCGAGAGATCACATTTTTAAATGTGTTCGCTGAAATGCAAAGTAAAAAGAGAACGAGGCAATAAATAGTATAGGGAGAGCGTGCCCTAGTGATAATTAGGAAATTAAGGAGGAGTTAACTCTGACAAGTTATTGTAACTATTTACACTATTTACATTGTTCGTACTGCTGTCTTCATCTTTGTTGTCATATTCATGACGTTTCGGCCGTTGTACGTTCAGGCTTTTTCGGTGATTGCAATTTCGAAGCGAACTCTTTATTTCTCCCACTTGTTCTAGTTTCTTCTGGATATATCAGTTTCAGTTATTTACCTTTAGTAACTGAACTCTCCAAGTTTTTTGTTCACCTCTGCTGTGGCCAGGCATTGAAATCACAACGCTTTGGGTGAAGTCACTGGATACCAACCCTTTTATAATGTGTCCTTGAGAATAATAATAATAATAATAATAATAATAATAACAACAACAAATTGTAATATGAGCTCTGTTAAAAATGTATACTGAGACATTCGGTTTATGTCCCAACTAGACCATGTGTCCTTGAGGACAATAATAACAATAAATTGTAATATGAGCTCTGGTAAAAAAAGGAGACTACTGAAACATTAGGATTATAAGTCCCAAAAACCTATACGCTGATGTCCTCAAGGCCCAGTGAATAAAAGCGTCGGTTGAAGGATCAATGACTTGACCACAAGAGTTGTAAGTTCAATACATGGCCACAGCTGAGATAAATAAATAGATAGTAAATAAAATTTCAGGGTTTAAGGGGAGACGTTAGAAGTATAGAGCTGAAGTTGACTTTAAATGGAACCGGAAACATAGGATAAACTTCTATACTGGGAATAAAATATCGCATATCGTTTTGTTTTAAGAGAAACTTATTATTGCTAATAGTTAAATAATTAGAACGGAATTATATATGTATATATAAGCTGTCAAACGTAAGAAAGATGTAATATATATATATATATATATATATATATATATATATATATATATATATATATACCTGAAGAAAAAATTAAATAAACTTCCGACTGTCAGTCATGCTGTCAACGTGTCAACAGCTTAAATAAACACCTACCTCCGTGTTACAAAATGCATTTCTACGATATCTATCTATCTATCTATCTATCTCTCTCTCTCTCTCTCTCTATATATATATATATATATATATATATATATGTGTATATATATATATGAAAGAGGATGTCTGTCTGTCTGTGTGAAACCTTTTCACTCGAGATCCATACAACCGATTTTGACCAAACATGGCCCATACATTGTACCAAGAGATAGATTCTTAGCATAAAAAACGATGATTTTTTAAAAGATCAATAATCGATAAATTCAATGTCGATAAATTCAACTTTTTTCCTCCGATTTCGTTCAAATTCGGTATGTAGCTTACTTACATTAACACAAGCTCAACGATATCTCATTTTTATTTATATGCCACTGCGTTTAGCGAAAAACTGCGAAACACGAAAAATCGATTTCAACACAAATCGATTTCAATACAAATTTTAAACTAAAAACTTCCTCAATTTTAAAACAATCTAATACAAACTTCACTCAATTGTAGCCAACATAAGTTGATTGTTTAACAGTCATTTAACTTGATAACTAAGTTCACCCATATAGTGAAAACCCGCGTAAATAGCGAAAAATGCTGGTTTTTACTGGTTTCTTTATTGATATTTCAACCAACTTTCAGCAAACTTAATAATTTCTTTACAAATGTATCCTCTTTTACATCCCTGGTAGCATACTGACAAATTGAATTTCAAAAACTCCTAAATCACTGTGGTCTGAAGTGGGTCTTCATCATGCCTGTTTTACCCTTTCATGTCCTCGGCTAACTTCGAATGAATGACAGAATAACAGATGACTTCTGTTATATCAGTAATCGCATTAATTCAAAATTTTTTTTAATGAAAGTACTTTAAAGTAATTGAAGAAGATAGACTTTGTTACATCTAAACATGTTGCTGTTTTTGTTCCATTCTAATTGAACGCTTTTTCTGATCGATCAGCTGGGAATGGCTGCTAGTTTTAAACTAAAAGTAGGTAATATTTGTTTTAAATCAGATTAATTAAACTTTAAATCAGCTATTATTCTTCAAATAAAGTTTCAGAAAAGTATATTTTATTTTTGAAAAAATTTTAAATAAAGAGAATTACATTGTGCTGACGGATGGTTAAAATGGCGCTAAAATCAGGGTTTTATAGCAATTTAAAAAAAATTCTTCCAGTCAACAAAATATCAAAGTCTTTTGCATAAATGGAAATATTAAATTTAATTAGGTACCTCTAAAAATTCGGTATACCTAAGGTTTAAATGTATTTTTCCTAATGGAAATTTATAGATTTTTGTGTAGCGAAATCGGCTCCAAAGACCTTGGCGGGAAATAGGATTTGTTTGGAATATTGCTACACTTTGGTGTTTATTAACCAATAAAAAGATTGGATTTGCAAAAACGAGATGATGATTGGTTAAATGCTTTTCAAAGAAGAATACATTTTTTGAAGGGAGTTAAAGGCTAATGTGGAAGATTCCACATGTCAACTTTGTACTATTTGTGGTAATGGATATTTTAGTGTAGTATTTTGGCCGACAAAAGCAATGTGAATGCGGAAACACCGGTACCAAAACCGGTGTTGCATGGGAAAACTGCCTGGACTGAAAATATGCCACAAAAAAGATGCTACATTCTATCTTAATCAGCGAGCAAAATATGAAGAGTCGTTAAGAGAAAACGAGTTCCTCACAATTCCCGAGGCGCTTGATGCTGTGAGCACACGCACCATATCTCTGCTGAGTTCAGGCGTGAAAACCCGCAAGTTAATTGGGGTCAGCAGGGAAAGTATGGAAGAAGCACTTAAGGCATTGAACATCAGCCCGAAGGTTCTGGCGCGAAGGACGAATGCCTTATGGGATTTATTGCTACAGACAGAGCAACAGGCCAAGAACTTAGCAGGTAGCGTACTGTCTACAAAGAACTTAAGCTTACAAACGGAATACATGGGCACCGTAGGACAAAAGTCACCGTCCACGAGGTGCCCGTAGACATTTCTGACGACGGAATGGGGGCCTTCTTTGCCAAATTCGGATAAGTGAATGAAGTGAAGGCCCTCATGAGCAAAGCCGGCATTGAAACTGGTGATATGGAAGTGCATATCACACTGAACCGGAAACAGTTCCTGGAGATACCTAACATCCTGGTTTGTAGGGACAAGATGATGCTGGTGGTGGTGGTGGTGGAAGGAAGAAGACCGTGTTGATGGGCATGTGGGGAATCGGGCCACATGGCCAAGGAGTGCCCCGGTAAAAGTGGAAAATCTCCTCTGACGACAACAGCAACGAAAATTGCAACGACAACAGCAACGACAATTGCAACGACAACAGCAACGACAATTGCAACGACAACAGCAACGACAGCAGTAGTACAGGCAGATTAGGGAACCTCAAAAACAGAAGGTGAATGGAACAAAGTGACAAGAAGCCGTAAATCGCCCAAGGTGTCGTCTCCTCCTAAACAAAAAACAAAGAAGCAAACACCAGAGGTGCGTCCGTGTCATGGGGGTGCTGGGAATGCCACACTTTCTGAGCCACAACCCCGCCTCGAGGTTGGCTTTCCTACACCGCGCAATGACAGGAGATTCGATAACGACGGGGATTGTTAGGGACACGTTCCCTTCCCTTACTCCCCGCGATCAATCGGATTTCTTTCGCGAGTGTCGGTCGGCCTTGTTGGGTGTTCCACGGTCCAGTGACCTTTCTCTGCCTAGGAAGGTCTTCTATCGTTATTTAGTGGAGGTGGCCGCGGAGGATTCTCTACGTGAGCGGCTCGACTTGTCGGGGGAGGAGTTTCGCTCTTTTTGGTCTTGGGCGCCAGTGGCGGATTATCTCAGTAACCCTGAGTTTTCGCTTACCTGGCGATTGGCTCGGAATCGGCTGCCTCTCAATGTCAAGGTCTTCATATGGAGCTTGGCGGATTTGCCAGAGTGTGAACGCTCTAACCTTGGTTTAGAGGAAACAGCTTCGCACGCCTTCTACCATTGTCGTCGGGTCCTCCCCTTATGGGACCATGTCGTCAAGTTGACGGCTCGTCTCACTCCCGAACACTTCGTGCTCATTGATCGCGCATACCAGTGTGACAATGTGTCGCCCCCGTATTCTGGGGTGAAACGAATGGTGTTTCTTACGCTGCTGGCTACGGCCCGAATGGTGATTTGGACGACGCGAATGAAGGAAGTTTTGCGAGGCACTCGTCTTTCTCATCAGGATCTGATCCGATTCTTTGAGCATCAGCTCAAGATGAAGTTTACAACTGATAAGGAAGCTGAAAAACCGGTAGAGAAACATGTCGGCCGAAGCAGGGCAGAAAGAAATCTGCCAAAATACAGGTCCTTATCAGTACCGGTCTCGCGAGGACAAGCTAGAGAAGAACTGCTAAAAGCTAGGAGCCTCTCCACTTCACCCACTCGAGCTCTGTCTCCCTGTCCCTCCACCTCCTCTGCTAGATCAATATCCACTCCTCCTCACACTTCCACTTTTCCCCCTCTCCACCGTGCCAGGATAAAGAAAAAGAAAAAAAAAAGAATTTTCCCTGACGCAGAAAACATTTGCAGAGTAGACGTGGAGCAAGTTAAGAAATCCTTGTCAAGTCATAAAAATTTTTACTGGGCCTTTTGGTGAAAATGTCTACTGTAGATGGGAAATCCATTAAGGACCCCAGGAACTTTCCAGGTGCTCCTGGTGTAGTCACCTGTGTAAGGGACACGGGTGGCTACCTAAAAGTTTGGGCGCATCTGGCGGAAGCACAAGAAGCCTTTAAAAACATTAAAATGGATGACGAATACCTAAAGAAATTAAGACAATATTGTTCTGGGAGGGTCCCTGTCTTCCTCCATTCCTCCCTATATAGGTGCGTTAAAGTAACCTATCTCACGGACGTCGGCGGGATTGTCCTAGAAGAACGGATGACGTTAGAGCTTGGTGTGGGGAGGCTAGGATAATCCGTCGGAGGCCTGATTGAAGCAGATTTCCGGCCTGTATGTTAGTAGGTCTTTTTCTTTTCTCATTTTTCTATTTTTCAGGCCTAGAAGATGTCGATAAAGATACCCAGTCTGAATGCGAAGGGCTTGAGGGATCGGGGTAAGGCTGCCCGTCTGCTCCGGGATCTCTTGTCTTTCGGCGTGGATGTCGCCGCGATCGAAGAGACCCACTTTGTTTGCAGCCAGAGGAGTTTCTCAGCATGGCCGCAGCCACAGAGGCGGCTCGGACCAGCGAACGACTCTGGGATAGAATAAGAAGGGGAACCCCCGGGGAGCCAAAGTAGTGATGAAAAAGAAGGACCGGGAGTGGATCCACATACGGGACCCGAAAGAAGAGGTGGAAGAGGACTGGAAGGCTGAAGCAGTTCCCAATAGGAGAGCCTGGGATCTGCATTATGGGTTTCACAAGCCCACACCGGGCCGATATGGGCTGGTGTGCTGGACTTGCAAGTATGGTGGGCATCGAGCCCGCGACTGTCCGACAAACTATGGAGGCGACCCAAGGTCTTTGGGACCCAAACTGCACGACTTGTTGCAAGTTCGGGCACAAGGCTCGGTAGTGTACGGCAGAGGGAGCCGTAAACTGGGTATAAAGCGAGTTAATACGCTGGTGCCCCCTACCGAGAAGGAAAAGGGTCCAGGAAACGCCGATGGGTCACCTGTGAAAAAGTAAGAGGCAGGGTGGCCCCAGTGCAAGTAAGAACTCTGAGATGCTGGACATGTGGTGTGGTCGGGCACTTTTTGGCAAGTTGTAAGGAGCGAAGGTGGAGGAGCAGGTCACTTGAGACGAACCTGTCCTCGCAGGTGAAAGATGGACCACACCGAACGGAACAACCCTAACTCGAATAGACGGGGGAAATTGGTTGATAGTCCGAGAAAAGAGAGTCATCTGAGTTCTACCCCACCCAGGAAGGCCCCTAGATAGAAATGGGAGCCTCTAGAAAAAGGTGAACTCCTGTCACCGACTCCCACGGTGGTCGAGAAAGCGGGAAGAAGGGAGAGAACATACGGGAAGGAGAAACGCACAGGTATACCGTTTGCTGAAGGAAGGGCCAGACTTCACTTGTAATGTGTTGCTGGGAGACAAGAATGTGAAGGCCCTTGTCGATACTGGAGCTTCAGTGTCATTGGTTGGCTCCAAGGATTTTAGACAGTTGGGACTGAAAACGAAGCTTAGTCCCGTCGATCTACTAATAAGCTGACGAGCAGTAGCAGGATGAGGATAGAGGGTATGACGTGGCTACCTTTCCAGTTGGCAAGAATCAGAGGTAAACTTAAGGTTTATGTGGCACCTGACTTGTGTGATGAGCTAATTTTGGGGAGTGAGTGGCTTAGGCAGAATAAGGCACAGATCTGTTTCGACTCCGCCACCCTAACATTAGACGCGGTAGGGATACTGTTGGGAGAGGATAATTATGAACAATTGCCAGTGGTGGCCCAGACAGATATAAAGCTTCCTCCTAGGACACCTCAGGGAAGGGCAAGATTATAACAGAAGGAGTGCCGAACAGTGACCTGTACCAAGTGGTCCCTACTGATAGGTAGAATAATAGTGAAGGGAAATAACCGTGTGTGATTCGTTGGTGAAGAGGTCGGGGACCATTCCCTTACTGTTAACCAATACTGCCAATAAAACTATTAAAATAAAGCAGGGAGAGGAGCTGGCACAGGCGTGCCCAGTGAGAGAAGTCGAACAGGTGAGAGTATGGAATGAGAATAGGCCTGGGAATGACAGATAGCAATGAAATAAGGGATGAAGATATAACAGCTCCTGAGTGTTATAGGAGGAAATTGAGGAGGCTGCTGAACGGTAATCGGGAGATAATAGCCATTACTGATAAGGAACTGGGACAGACCGAGACAGTTGAAATGAAGATAGCAACTTTCAGGTCCAGGGTAGAGGCAGGGCGTACCTCCAAATATATGGTGCATGATGGAGTGTTGTATTATCTTTCAGGAAGAGATGAGGAAATAAGTTTAAAAATGGTGATACCCGAGAAGTTGAGAGCTGAAATTCTATAGGAGGTTAGAACATCTGGGAAATGATAAGACGTATGGATTAATAATGAGAAATTATTACTGGCCTAAGTTGTTTAATGATGTTGCGAACCATGTAAAAAAAATGTGTAACATGCCAAGTACAGAGTCGAAGGATGCTCCGAATTATCCATTTCAGAAAGTAAGCATGGATATTTCCGGGCCCTATGGAGAAACACATAGAGGTGATATTTACATAGTGAGTTTTGTGAACTGGCTGACGAATTGGCCTGATGCTTTTGCCATACCGGATAAGACGGTACAAACGGTGTCAGATATAATACTGAACGAAATATTCCCTAGGTATGGGTCCCCCGAACAGTTGATTACTGATAATGGATTGGAGAATGTGAATCAGATTATGAGAGAGATGTTGGGAGAATTAAACATACAGCACATAACCACCTCTCCATATCACCCCGAAAGTAACGCTAAGGTAGAGAGATTTCATAAGACCCTCGCTGATGTGTTAGCTAAACTAACAGAGGATAATAGGGAAAATTGGGATTTATTTGTAACCCAAGCGTTAGCAGCTGTGAGGTTCTCGATGAACGAGACGACAAAATTTTCCTCTTATTACTTGATATATGTCAGGGATGTAGTCTTACCTATAGACAATCTGTTATGACCTAGGAGGAAGTATTTAGGAGAAGATCATCATCAAATAGTTTTAGAACAACAGCATAAAATTTTTACGTAGGTGAGGAAGAGGATTCAAAGAGCCCAGAAAAGGTGAAATGATAGGGTAAATAAAAATAGTTTCCTTCCAGATCGGTGATCCAGTGTATTATAAAATACACCTGAGAGAAGGTAAATTGGACCAGAGATGGAGGATCGTGGAGCAGACGGGGCCGGTTTCCTTTGTGATCTGGGACCAATTGACCGGACAGGTAAATAGAGTGCATGCGAATGATATAAAGCTAGTTGAAATAGGAGAATGGAAAGGAGCCAAAACAAAAACTCAACAGAAAAGGCTGAGGAAATCTACGTTGGTAGAACCCGAAGGGTTAGAGACTGAGAGTGAAAGTGAAGGGAGTGAAGAGATTGAAATTAGCCCAACTACCCTTCGAAGGCTGAGGGAGGTAAATTGGACCCCAGCAGGACATTCTGAGGAAGCAGGGATTGAGCCTAACTTTAGGGAAGAAGAAAAACTGAGTGAATCAGAAGAAGAGGATGAAATTCCGTTAGCTCAATTGCAGAGTAAATTGCGGGCTGAAAAAGCACATAGTGTTAATGAGGAATTACCACTAAAACGGTGATTGAGGGGAGTGGTGCAACCTGAGCCCAAGGATTAAGTGAAACTAGTACAGTGGTTGTGGTGAATGAGTGACAGTCTGGGACTAACTGTACATTTATCATGAGTGACGGTCTGGGACTAACTGTACATTTATCATCAGTGCTGGTGAACTGTGTGGACGACCACACACATACACGGCGCTGGTGGTGGTATGGGTCGGTGCTTGAGGTATCACTCTAAGATGTAACCCCCCCCATAAAAACAATCAGAGAATGATTGATTAGGACGAATTATTCTCTCCATCTCTTTGCGGACATGGACGAGAGGAGGCTGGTGGTACTGACGATGCTAGTTGTGGTAGCTAATACATGTGAACACAGTGAGAATACCGTATTTAAGAAGACTAGCGAAGTGATCGTAACTAGATCAAAGTGGTTGGTAACTTTGGTGATAGACCTACAGCCATATGTTACTAGGTCAGTTGAAGACCGAAATGGACAAACTAGATACAGCCAGGACACAAGTCGCCAGAGACTATTTACAGACTCCGGAATACCATCGTATATTATACCCCTTAGTTCAGGAAACCCTAATACTTGAGAGACAATGGAAGGATATGAGTTACTAATTGAAAGGAATAAAGTTGTTACGGACCAGGCAAAAGAGGGCAGTATTACCTATAGTGGGAAAGTGTGTTGTTTGGTACAGTCTCCGAAGGCGAAATGAGAGGAAATTATAGGTGGTAGAACAGAGACAACAAGCAATGCCTCAGTCGGTTTAAGAGAGTGTATCCATACTCAATGTTACTAGGCTGGAATTGGCTAAGGATAGAGGGAGTATCAATTGGCTGATTTCTCACCTACAGATTTTTAGAAAAGAAGTGATAAATGTATCCACGTCTGTAACAACCGAATTACAGAAATTACAAAGGTATTTTCAATTATCAGCTGTAATGAGTGAGGCACGTCAAACAAGTCACTCTTTAACGGTGTTGTTAGAGCATGTGAGAGCACAATTAGATATGCTGTCGCTGGGGCACCTATCTCCGAGTATAATAACTCCGGAACGATTAAGAGAAGTTTGAAGAGAATGAGATTCTGTTAGAGATTGTAGGAACGAATGCCAATAGATGGACGGGATTGTGGGAACCCATTGTAAGGGATATTCTTAAGATGTCGATGGAGAAGATGCCGGCGTTCTTAAGGCCAATCGATAAGATTGATCTTGGACGGTTGAAGTCGGAGTTAGATAAGATAGGTACGCTGAATTCGGGCTGGAGAGAGAATTTGGTTGCTATAATAACTTGACCGACCGTTGTGGGAATTATACTTGCTAGTTTGGTGGTAGTTGAAGAGGCGTGCGGTGTTGTCGACCGGGCAGAATAAACTAGCACAGGAGTGCCTGAGTGAAGGAGGGATTCCAGTTAGTGCACTTTATCAAGGTAGGTCCGACCCGAGTGCATTGGGACCCCTAACTGATATTGAACAATAGTCCACGATTGTCATGGAAGGATCTGAACCAACAAAAGATTCGGCAAAGCCTGTTATGAAGGCGAGACAAAATCGGAGGGACAGATTTACAGAATAAATAGAATTTTTATTTTTTTGTAATGAGACTGAAATAATTTGTAAGGAGTGTTGCGAACTTCAATAATTGAAAAAAAAGGGAGGGAAAGAACACTCGAACTAATGAACTAATGTGAAACACCAAAACAGTAAACTTTAACCGGAAGTTGCATGTACATATGTATCATAAGAACAATGAAAATGTAAATGGGCATAATGAGCCCTAAGAAGAACTGAGGACTCTACCTTTGCATGCTGGAAGAGACGTATGTTTAAGTAGACCTTAGTAAGAAGCATGTTGGACTGGGTTATCTCATATTTTGTTGATATGAAAGCTCGTGTGTCATTTACTAGTAAATGACAGATGGGTATGGAGAGGAAATGTAAGAGAGAGAGTTTGGGAAACACACACGCACACACACACACACACACGAATATTTTTTTATTGAAATTGGAGTGAATTTGAGTAGCGAAATTAGATCAGAGCAATTTTGCTTACTGAGGGGAAATCTGATCTAGCCCATTTGGAATTGGGTCATTAGAAAGACAATGGAAAATGATCGAAATAATTTTTATCGGTTGAAATTTGAAATAGAGCTTACTAAAGCTATGAGGAACTATGAAATTCACATGATTTTGGGTTCACAGCAACACCCGTGATAATCGCGTGCGGGCCAAAGGTCGATTTATGATCAACCAGATTTATCTATATAAATGCGTAGTTATGCTGAAGAAGAGGCAGACGGGAGAGGCCGCGATCGGTCTGCACGTCGTCGTCGCAGCGTGCTGTCACGTGCGTGGGCACCCGCAGGCGACCGTTACGGGTCGCGGTGCTACAGAAATCTTTTCGTGAGAGAGGTTGGCTCGTCTCTGCCGTCGAGTGCAGTCGAGCTGGGTGGAGAGAGATCGGAGATTGAAAGTGACGTCAGGGATTGGAACAACCCCCACTGCTAACATGTACTGTTAATATAAGTACCGCTGCTTCTGCTACCACGAAGATTACTACTACTGTTACTACTGCCGAGGAGGAACGCAACTATAAATTTTAAGCCGCGCACAGAAATCTTTTATCTCTCCATCGCAAGAGTCGTATATCGTTCTGAGACGATTTAACAAGTTAATTACAACCCACTATCTCTGTGTCTAGAATGCAGTGTATGAGTTTTTACGTCAATTACTTTTCTTTTCTGTAACCCGTTTCTTTTCTATACTATTCTTTTCTGCTATATAAAAGGCATTAACAATTCAATCATTGAATAGTTGTTTGTGAGGGTTTTTTTTCTGCATTCTAAATTT